GTAGGGTCAACGCGTGTGTACGGCCATAACGCATTCGCATCACTAGCGGCCGCCGTCGCCGCCGCCTGACTTCAAGTTGAGTCACGCCACTTCACCGCAGTGATTATTGTACATCAAGCGACCGCGAAGTGCGGAAAGTTGACGGAGGATCTCTCTGATGGAGATCTCCTCGGCGGGCGGAAGCCACTTCAAACTAGCTACAGGCCTCTGTTATTCGCAGACTGGCGAGTATCGAACGCACGGCGATCCAGCTGGTTTCGCGAGCGGCTAAAACTATCGATTGCTAATACGCTAAAAAAAGAAGTCTCACTGCCATCGGTCACGCGACGCGGCGATAATTTGCCCGACGGGCTGCAAATGTGTTGGTTGTAGCTTGTGAGAAGTCAGAGAGCCGGCGAGGCCACGCCGCGAATCACTTTTCCTCTCAAGGATCCGCGCAGTCGCTTCATTAACAGTTCGGCCACGAAGGAGCGATATATCTCCTCGCCTATTTTCTATCCAAACACATTACCAGCGATCGTTTTTCTCTTGCGACTTGTAAAACCACCAACAATCCACCAGCAATCACGTTTTCGTGATTCACGCTTTCGTTTCTCTCTATTTGCTTCTTTTCATGTCTACCGCATTATTATAAAGTACTATTCTTGCGCTGAAAGCTCACTAAATGAAATTTATTATTAATTAGGCGCTCGAATTCAGATAATCAGATAATGATCGCCGATAAAATCTAAACCGCCCATGATAGCTGAACGATTAAGCCGAGTGCGCCCGACCTAAAAACGCTCTCGGGGGGGAGAAAGTGCACGTGTGCGTGACGCATTTCCATTTCAGCGTGGACGTGAACGAGACGCGGAAGATCATATAAATACCATCGTGTAAACGCTTCCGCACGCGATGCAACGCTGGAAAAAAAAAACATCGCGTTCCGCGCGCAGATATCGCGCTACAGGACCCTCAAAAATACACCTGCTTCCTGCGCCGCATGCAGCCTTGATCCTTGACGAACACGCGACGCTATGCCACCCCGAGGCCGGGTGCATAATGTTGCCGGACGATTTACGGGCCTGGCGAAGGTCCGCGATTTATAGCCGAGATTGTGTGTGCGTTCCGCGGCGACGTACGATCGGGATTGATTGACAAAACTCGCGAATACGCACCCCTTAAATTAAGCAAGCACAGAATGTACGAAAGAATTTAGAACTTGGAGCGTAGAGTGCGGAACATTCTATAATTAACTTTTCAAATAAAATTATTCTATTAAAAACATCAATATTTGTCCGTGTATTTGCGTGAAATTTAAGATTAAAAAAAATGTTCAATATTAAAAACTAAAATTTTTTTATAATCTTGTCTTAATAGTATAATTTTGCAAAATAAATAGAAAAAATAAGCTGCATAAAAAAAAATTTGAGCAATATTATCAAAATTGCTCTTATTTCGAGAAAATTAATTTTTCGATTCACGTTCGATTCAGCATTTTTCGTCCTAAATTCTTTTTTCAACATCGCACATGGAGGTCCTAAAATTAGCGAATGTCCCTTTTACCGCATATATTTTTGGAACTAATTTTTCTTTCAATAAAAATACTTTTTGCAGTAATTTGCGGTGGCAGAGCGATCGAAGGTACACTTGAGTCGAAAAATACTTCAGGAGAGAGAAAATAGATGACAAAATAATCTGCTTCTAGAAATAGCGTGTATTCCATAATTTTATTACCGAACACGCCGGCTTAAAGATAGAGAAGGCGACAGACCTATCATGTCGTATCGCGAAATCTTCACATTGGGAAACATCGTATTCAAAGCTGATTGCGAGTTTATCGCCATATACACGCGACGCGCGCCGAATGGATCGTGAAAACACAAGTGGATCGTGTACAACGCGACATGTCATCGTCCCTTTACTGTCGCCGATCCCGAGCAGCTTAATTCCACCGAATCGCAATCTCGCCGCGAGATCTCGCTTCGTGCGGCATACATGAAAGCCCGGAGCGGCCCGTATTTGGCGCTTAAGCGCGTGTCGAAAATACATATCCAAATCCCCGAGGGACCGCATCCTCGTGATTCGCTCGCTCTCTGTGTCCTCTCCCCCCCGGCTTCCTCCTCGCCCCTTTCCCACCCCGTCAGTCAACCCCTGGAAGCCTAGCAACGCTGCACCTCCTGCGCACCTGTAAGAGCAGCACTTTCTCGACAGGGAGAGAAACGCGTTTCATCCCCTACGCCGCGCGTCTACCGCTGTGATACGTGACGTTGGAGAG